TGATCTTGTTCTTTTTTATGGCTGCATAGTATTCCATGGTGTATATGTACCACATTTTCTTTATCCAGTCTACCATTGATGGGCATTTAGGTTGATTTTATGTCTTTGCTATTGTGAAGAGCACTACAATGAACATAGGAGTGCATGTGTCTTTATGATAGAATGATTTATATTCCTTTTGGTACATACCCAGTAATGGGATTGCTGGGTCAAATGGGATTTCAGCTTCTAGATCTTTGAGAAATCACCACACTGTCTTCCACAATGGTTGAACTATTTTATGTTCCCATCAACAGTGTAAAAACATTACTATCTGTCTGCATACTTGCCAGCATCTGTTGTTTTTTGACATTTTAGTAATCACCATGCTGACTGGCATGTGATGGTGTCTCATTGTGGTTTGGATTTGCATTTCTCCATTGATCAGTGATGTTGAGCTTTTTAAAATTTGTTTGTTGGCCACATGAATGTCTTTAGAAAAATGTCTGTTCATGTCCTTTGATCACTTTTTAATGGGGTTGTTCATTTTTTTCATGTAAATTTAAGTTCTTTGCAGATTCTGGATATTAGACCTTTGTCAGATGGAGAGATTGCAAAAATTTTCTCCCATTCTGTAGACTGCCTGTTCACTCTGATGATAGTTTCTTTTGCTGTGCAGAAGAAGCTCCTTAGTGGAATTAGATCCCACTTGTCAATTTTTGCTTTTGTTGCGATTGCTTTTGACATTTTTGTCAAGAAATCTTTGCCCTATACCCTGAATGATATTGCCTGGATTTTCTTCTAGGATTTTTATGGCTTTGGGTTTTATATTTAATTCTTTAATCCACCTTGAGTTAATTTTTGTATAGGTGTAAGGAATAGGGATTCCTTTCCCCATTGCTTGGTTTTGTCAGGTTTGTCAAAGATCAGATAAAGATCAGATGGTTATAGGTGTGTTGTCTTATTTCTGAGTTCTCTATTCTGTTCCATTGGCCTATGTGTCTTTTGTTTTTGTTTTTGTTTGTTTGTTTGTTTTGAGACGGAATCTTGCTCTGTTGCCTGGACTGGAGGGCAGTGGTACAATCTCGGCTCACCACAACCTCCACCTCCCAGGTTCAAGTGATTCTCCTGCGTCAGCCTCCCAAGTAGCTGGGATTATAGGTGTGTGCCACCATGCCCAGTTAATTTTTCAGTATTTTTAGTAGAGACAGGGTCTTACCATGTTGATCAGGCTAGTCTCAAACTCCTGACCTCATGATTCGCCCACCTTGGCCTCCCAAAGTGCTGGAATTACAGGCATGAGTCACTGCACCCAGCCTATGTGCCTGTTTTTGTACCAGTACCATGCTGTTTTGGTTACTGTAGCCTTGTAGTATAGTTTGAAGTCAGGTAGTGTGATGCCTCCAGCTTTGTTCTTTTTGCTTGGGATTGTCCTGGCTATTGTGCTCTTTTTTGGTTCCATATAAATTTTAAAGTAGTTTTTTTTTCTAATTCTGTGAAGAAAGTCAGTGGTATTTTGATGGGAATAGCACTGAATCTATAAATTACTTTGGGCAGTATGGCCATTTTCACAATATTGATTCTTTCTGTCTATGAGCATGGAATGTTTTAACATTTGTTTGTGTCCTCTCTTATTTCCTTGAGCAGTGGTTTGTAGTGCTTCTTGAAGAGGTCCTTCCCTTCCCTTGTTAGTTGTATGCCTAGGTATTTTATTCTCTTTGTAGCAATTGTGAATGGGAGTTTATTCATTATTTTCTTGCCTATAGAAATTTTAATAGGTTGAGTAGATATTTTCTTAGTCCACAGTATAGCTTGAATTAGTATAAGTAATCTAGACAGTAGCTCTCAACTTTGGCTGTACACTGGAATCTTCTTGATAGTCTTATTTAATAGGCTTGAGTTGCAGCCTAGTTCTTCAAACTTCCTGATGATTCTCATATGCAGCCAAAGCTGAAAACTACTGACCTTGATTGTCCTTTTATCTCCATAATGACACTATTAATGACATTAATGGCTGTGTATTATATATCTATTATGTGGTATTGTTATTATAGTGTTTGATATGGCTTGGCTGTGTCCCCACCCAAATCTCATCTTGGATTGTAGTTCCCATAATCCCTACATGTTGTGTGAGAGATTGGGGAAGGTCATTGAATCATGGGAGCAGTTACCCCCATCCTCCTGTTCTTGTGATAGTATGTTCTCATGAAATCAGATGTTTTTATAAGGGGCCTTTTCCCCTTTTACTCAGCACTTCTCCTTCCTGTCACCATGGGAGGAAAGACATGTTTGGTTCCCTTTCAGCCAAGTTTCCTGAGACCCTCCCACCCATGCAAAACTGTGAGTCAATTAAACCTCTTTCCTTTATAAATTACCCAGGCCCAGGTATATCTTTATTAGCAGCATGAGGAATAATATAGTGTTTTAAATTATAAAATGCGTTATCCTTACTGCAAATACTAAAGGTGTGTATTTTGATTTGCATTGAACAAATAAGGAAAGCAAGGCTCTGAGAAGTTAAGTAACTTTCCCAATATCACATAGCTTGTAAGTGGCAGAACTGAGAGTGCGGGAGCTGGGGGGAGTGGATTAATCAAAACTTGGACTGTTTGACTTCATGGCCCAGGCTCTTATAAACTGACATGTTGATGTCTTCTCTTTTGCAAGCCCATAGGTGCAATTTTACATTTTAAAGGCTGTGAGAGAAGACAATTCCACCGTACATTTGTTTATCCATTTCTTTAATACTGGTTTCTTTTTCTGTCATTTACATCCTTCCTTTATCCTGTCATTTGGCTGCTCAAAAAGCCATCTTGAACCTTGGAGATTTTTCTGGAAAGATCTGCTTACTGATCTTCCTTCACAATATTATAGGACAAGGAAATATATCAGTGTTCTCAATTCCAGTCATACCTCATCATCCTCTAGTTGTCACCAACTCTTTAGGTAAAAATCAAGTTGTCTGGCTTTCCTCTGGCTTCTTGAAGCCCTGTGTTCTTTTATTTTGGATGAGGACAGAAGGGATGATCGCTCCCAACCCAGTAAAAATGATGGAAAGAAACATAAGAAAAACATTTCAAAATGTTGCTTAGCAGGTGTCATGGGTCAAATTGCACTTCTCAAAAAAGATGTGATTGGAATTCTAACTTCTGGTGCCTCCGCATGTGATCTTATTTGGAGACAGAGTCTTTACAGAGGTAATCATATTGAAAAAAAGACCACTATGCTAAGCCTTAATTCAATATGACTGATGTCCTTATAAAAGGGAGAAACTTAGAAACAGAGACAGACACACAGAGAAGGAAGACAGTGTGATGAGACAGGGAGAAGACAGCCATCTGCAACCAAAGGACCTTGGCCTGGAAGATCCTTTCCTCATGGCTCTGAGAAGGAAGCATGCCAACACCTTGATTTTGGACTTCCAGCCTCCATGATTGAGACGATAAATTTATGTTGTTTAAGTCCCCCAGTCCGTGGTACTTTGTTATGGCAGGCCTAGATAGCTGGCACAGCAGGTGAGGGTAAGGGAAGACATGCTCCAGGAGAGCAGCCCAATAGTGCACCACATAGGAAATGTAAAGACAGGGAGTGAGTCTCCAGGGAGCCACCCACAGATCCCTGTGTGCAACGGAGCTCTCTCCCAGGATTGCTGAAGGAAAAGGTTCCTTGTTTGAGCTGCCAGCATCTGGTTCTACACCCAGGCTCTGAGGTGCTATTCTCTCTATTGCCATGCCAAATGAGAAGTCAGAATTCAGGGCCATCTTTTAGGTTCTTGATCCAGCACTTACCGTGAGCAGACTTGCCTCCTTAGAGCTTCCATTCTAAGGTGGGTAAGCCATAGCATCTCGTTTTCACTGATTTCAAGGTTATGGTCTATATCTATTAGTAGAAATACCTCTATATAGCATGTGGAAACATTCACCACAGTGTGTTGAGGCAAATTCAGCAAGCAATGTTTTAGATCTTTGTTATACACAAAAAGGTGATACCCCCTCAGGGTCTGAGGCAGTAAATGCACTTCTTTCATCACCCAACATCATTCATGATTGCAAGCGTGCATACACATACACACATACATGTACACACTACTTTCTTTGATTCTTCCCAGTGCATTTCCATTCTCCCATCACCTGCTATACCACTGCAGGTATTCCTGTGGAGGGTCAGGTGTCAGACTTCAGATTGTTTATTTCATCATTAGTGGTTTCATCAGTGATAAAATCGTCACTTATTCACCTCTGGCTGTCTGAACAAAGGGAATAGACAAAATATCTTCTTTGTCCTTGTCTCTACAAAGCTCAGAAACAAGCAAGAGTATAGGGCATCTTCGTAGGGGTCATGACTGAGGTTTTCTTGGAGCCCCTTAGCAGCTGGGTACCTCGCTTCAAGGAGGTGGAAAATTATTTATGGTTCAATGAGATTCACACACACACTGACTGTGAACAGGGCTTTGTAGCTGTGTTTAGAAAGTTCTCAAGGAAAGATATATCTGGAATATTTTTTGACTGAAAAAAGAATAGTGGAAGCCAGGCAGGTAGGTGAAGGTCATCAAATGTCACCACAGCAACTAGAAGATGACAGTGGTGACTTATTTTCTACTTCCTCTCTGTTCCCATAAATACAGAACTCATGACCACTGTTGCCTTGACTGAGTGGAGAGCAAAATTAACTTGCACAACTTTTCCAAGATAATTCAGCATTTATGCTTATCTAGAGAGAGATCTTTTTTTTCCCAATTCTTCTTTATGCCCAGTTACTGTTGTGGGGAGGTAGTAAATTACAGGGACCCTCCCAGGAAGACAGCATGGTGTAGACAAGGTAAAAAAAACAAAGGGGGGGCGGTGGATAGGGGAGAGGCTGGCATCGTAGAACTGGAGGGTAAATCATGGCTCTCTGTCACTTTAGCAGATTCTGTGAACCTGGGCAAACTCATGCTTTGGGAAAAAGATCAAATAAGAGACTCTATATTGATAGACTGATAAGTTGTAGAAATGTATCTTTCATTCCTCTTTTCTTCCTAGGTCTCCCCTGCATCCTGCCACTGAGCACACTAGCAAGGTAAGTCTGAGCATCTGAATGAATGAAAGGAAAGTGTTATTTTAAAAAATTATCAAATTTGTCTTAAGAAGACAATTTAGGAATTTTCTAAATTTCTTTCTGACTGACTGAAAGGCAGTGGCCCACAGCATTCCTGTTCTCCTTCCATACTTTCTTTTCCTCCATGATATTTCTGCCCTTCTAATATATGACATAGAACTTCTTCATTTTCAAAACTAGATTAAATCGCATGGGAACAGATTTTTGTTGTTGTTTGTTTGTTTTTCCGGATGCCCCTTTGCAAGGCCTGAGGTTCTCAAACTCATCATCTGCTTCTAACTGCATCGGCTAGGCCCAAGTTTCCTTTGTTTTGGTATCTCTCTACCTTTCTCTCTCTCCAAAAAAATGAAACAAAGCAAAATTTAAAAAATATAATAAAAATAATCACACACCATGATCCAAATACCTTATACAACATTATCTTTGAGTTTTGCTAGATAATTAACTTATTAATGTAATCAAAATGTTATTCATATAATTTGTATAGTAATAATATAATAAGGCAGTAATTATATAAATAAGTAAATTGTCTGATTCAGGTGATTCCTTATTTGTATATGTCTGATGTACTATTGTATTATGTTCATGTTCATTGGTATTAGTGAACTTTTTGTCCTGACACATTGCCATTTTTAGTAACTATTGCCAGTGACCCTAAGCCAACTGTGGAAACCTCAAGCTCTGAGACAGGCAGATGTTTTCCGAGTGATGGAAGAGAATGAGTGTTACATTTGTGAATGGAAGTGAATGAGTTACATTTCATGAGGAGGGGATGTGGTATCCAGTGAGGCAGGGCTAATGGTAAGAACTGTGCCCATTGGACGCAGGTGGCTCTTGAGGCTGCAGACTCATACAATGATCTGTATCAAGTTTGCTCTGACAGCAGGCATGCAGGGAGTCCTGTCTGAGGGGTTTTAAAATGCATTGAAAGCCTCCCTGCATTGGTGGTTTTCAAGTGAGAATGTGACAGGATACTCAGGGACTTTGGACTTGGAGTTGGAGGCTCTATGTTTGAGTCCTGATTCTGCCCGTGTATGGTTGGATGGGTATCTGTGTCTTCATGGGTATAAAGGAACTAATACCACCTCCCAGGATTTTTATAAGAATTGAACTGTAGTGAAAGTGTGAAAATGCCTAGAATTGAAACTAGTTCTATGGCAGCTGATCAATACACATTATTCCTATCTGGATCTCATTCCTTTAATAGCCTTACTTTTCAAAGCTGTGAAGCCACATAATAACGGCACTGGTTTTGAAACTGGTGGATAAAAAGAAGAAAATGTTCAGGTGGATAAAGAGAAGAAATCAGCTTGCCTCTCTTGGCAAAGACAAACATGAACAGTGAGTTCTATGTCTATAAACAAATATGCAGAGAAATATGCACAAAAAATGATATGCCTCAAGTTGAAGGAAAAATAGAATGGGCCTTAAGTTGACACGTTGATATTATTAAGAAGGAAAAAGGATATGGACATATAGGATGAAGAATATGAAAAGGGATTTCTAGGGGGACAGTGATAAGCCAGTAAAACCAAAGGGGAAAGTCAGTGGGATGACCTTGATTCTGCAGAGTTCTGTTCAGTCACCATGTTCCTGAACATACAATGTATAAACTGAATCATGATGTGAAGAAAGTTCTCTGTTTTTAAAAGAAGAGGTTTAGGAAAGTTAGATTTAAAGCAAATATTCTTCTTTCACCTGGGCTATTTGTTTGGCACATAATGATTTTTCATATTAAATGTCTTTTAAAAGCAGGGTAACCCTCTATATATAGACAAAGATAAGCACTGTTTCTGTGTCTGTAAGCCCAAAAAGGTATATACCAGAATCTTAAAACACTGCACAATAATATTTTACATGAGTTTATTTAAAGAAGAGTTTTCTAAGTTATGATCATTTGGCAGAACTAGCTATTATTCTACAAATGCAGTAAATTAACTACTATGAATTATTATAAAGTTAAGTTTTAAAAAAGCTAATTCAACCTGCGGTTATAATAATTTAAGAAACGAAAGTCAGAGTATGTCAAAGATGGTTAAAATATTCCAGATATCTGTTTGGAGAGAAGATGGAGGATGATTTAATCATCCTTCCTCGCCTATATTTACAGGGTTGCAAGGAATCTTCATTCATTCTGAATTTTCACAGAACAGGATGAGAACTATGTATAAACTATGCTCTGAGGACTTGATTAGATGTAAGCAAGCTCTTTCTCCCTGTTTAGTTGTTTGAGTTTTAATACACGTTTGCAAGAGAGGTAGTAAGGAGCACTTCTGGGAAACCCAGATGAATAAGCCAGTCATCCAAATGGACTCCACTTATTCTTGGGATTCTAGAAGCTCCTTCTGAACTCAGCAATCTCTGACTATGCCTCATGTGATGGAAGACCCTATGCAGCATGGAGAAGCACTAGGGCATGAACATGCTTGGTCTATAACTGGGTCTGGAGAGCTGAATGCAAAAATGTGAGTAATACCTTCCTTGCAGCTCTTTCTTAATGCCTCCCCACAGTACAGTCTGCTCACCATTCCCCTGGAGCAGACACGTCTCCAACTGTGTAGTCATAGCACTTTGGATTGCAGCACTCCCTGCAAAGTGCGGTTATTACTTACTTTGGGCTCTTCCTAAAGTCTGTGCATTCCTTACATTTCTTGAGAAGTAAGCAGTAAGCAAGCCTGCAGGAGGTATTTAAATGAGTAAGTGAATGTGTGAATGAATGACTGTGACCTCTCAAGGAGGCTTGTGTTCTCTGAGTAGTGTCTCTAAGTTCTGCATCCATCTTTCTACCCTTCCCCCCCTTTTTTAATCAAAATATACTATTCTTACTATCTCTCCTCACATCCTTTGTATAGGAGTTTGTACCTCCCTGGTGATGGAAAGCAACACAAGGAACAATTGTACCTAAATATGTTACCTCTCAAATGCCATTTCCATTTCAACTAAGGGCTTCTGAGGTTATAAAACAGTATGTCAGAAGAGCAAATCCCTGGTAACTGAAGAGAGATCATTTAGAATTTCCCCAAGTAAAACATTTAGGGAAAAAGATTGTTTAGTGAGTGTACTGGGTAGCTCTTATTATAACATTGAATGTTGGAAAACACCTCTAACAATTAGAATCATGAAGACCAGTCAGGCTGATATATATTTAGTATGTCCTATTTAAACTCCCACTTTTATAGGATAAGGGGTTTAAATGAAGGCTTTGGTTATAAGTTTTATTATTTGTTCATCCACCAAATATGATACACCTGTTATGTGGCGGGCACTGCTCTAGGCTCTTAGAATACCTGAGGGAACAACACATACAATGACCTTTGCCCTTATGGGGCTTACAGTCTAGCTGGCGGAGCCAGACATTAGATGATACACATACAAATAAATAAATATATTCTACTGTACATAAGAGAAATAATGGAATGAGGCAAAGGAACTTGAAAGTACAGAGGGACGGTGGGAGTGGAGCTGGCAGGTTATAGTAGTCATGAGGGGGCCGAATCAGATTTTACTGAGAAGGTGAGATAAGGGAGTAAGCCAAGTAGGTATTTTAGGAAAGAAGGTTCTAGCAGAAAGAAAAGCTAACACAAAACCCCTTAAAAGGGAGCATGTGTGCCTGGCGTTTTTGAGGAAAGCAAGGAGGTGAGAGTTGTTGGAACAGGGCAGCACAGGGAGAGTAAGAGAAAAGAGATCCAATGGTGTGGCAGCTCGGAGAGGGCCTTATGCCATGGTAAGGACTTGGACTCTCATCTGAGTAGAGGTTGGTGGGGGCCAATGTATGTTTTGATCAAGGGAGTGATGTGATCTGATTTACCTTTTTAAAGCATTACCGCTACTGCTCTGTGGGGACCATGCAGAGGCAAAGATAGAAGTGGCAATAACTGTTAGGAGGCAATTGCAATATTCCAGGCAGTTGATGCTGGTAGCTTGGGTGGGCCGCAGCCCTGGTGAGGGCAGGAAATGGTTGGAGTCTGGATGTGTTTTGATGGTTGAGTCTACAGAGCTATCTGATAAATTGTTTTACTGTGAGGAGTCAAGGATGACTCCGCAATTTTGGTTCTCTCAACGGAAGGATGGAGTTGGCAAAACCGAGATGAGGAAGGGTGTAGGTACAGTCGGTTTGGAGTTAGGGAATGGGGAAGGCTGGAAGTTTTTCTTTGGATCTGTTGAGGTTGAGATATCTGTTGACATCCAAGATGTTGAGTCAACAGCTCCAAGAGAGCCTTCAGAGCCTCCAAGAAATATTTCTGTGTCTCAGACATAGTGAATCAACTCTTTGTTAGCGGGCTGGTGCCCAGCCCAGTCATTTTAGATAAAAGGAGATCACTTTTCTTACTTTCATGCCAGCTAGCTTCTGATTTCTTTCTCAAAAGAAATCTCAATAGATAGGAAAAATAAGGGATCTGGATAGTCTCCAAAAGGCCTACATATCCCTCATGATAACTTTAGATAGAGGTTTACACAGGATATGTGCAAAGACCTAGTTACTGTTAGGAATGCTTTCCCTCTGCTGGGATTACATTCATATGTAGGTATTGACTGACCATCAGATACCAAAATTTAAGCTGGGCACTGTGGCTCATGCCGGTAATCCCAGCACTTTGGTAGGCTGAGATGGGAGGATTGCTTGAGACCATGAGTTTGAGACCTGTCTGGGCAACATAGAGAGACCCTATCTCTATAAAACATTAAAAAAAGTAGCCGGGCATGGCGGTGCATGCCTGTGGTCTCAGCCCCTCAGGAGGCTGAGGTGAGAGGATTACTTAAGCTTGGGAAGTTGAGGCTGCAGTGAGCCATGATCATACCACTGCACCCTGGGAAACAGAGAGACTCTATCTCAAAAAAAAAAAAAAAAAAAACACACACACACACACACAATTGATATCTCAAAGTCTCAATTTTATTTGCTTTTTATATTTGGTTAGATTATTATGATAGCACATTAAAAGAAATAAAATCAAAAGAAA